TTCAGACGTGGAGGACAGCTTAGGGAGGGAAAGATAAATCAGTTCTTTGGGGCTGGAGTGTGTTTGGGAGAAGAATGGGAAGAAAGGATATTATGGCCAAAAAGGAAATGATGACCCTTTGATCCTTTCCTTATTAGAACCCCAAAATTAATACTAAATAGAATAAGAGAAAAATTAATTCATCACATCATTTGATGTAAGGTCAATTATTTTCTCCAATTGATATACCAAAATTATACCCTCTTTAGAATTCTCACAAATAAAATTGTCATCACCAAACAGTTAAACTACCTCATTGGCTATAGTTACTTTTTGATGGAGTATAGGGGCCACTCTTGTCCAAAGCATTTCTGGGGATGGCTCAGATGACAGTTTCTTTGTCCTTTAGGTCAGTGGTTCTCAATCCTATTAGACCCAAGCTCTTCTTTTTATAGTATTTTTAACATCTCTTTTGCTATACTGAAATAACATTCACAGTTAATATAATCAACTTTTACAAATCTGCAAAAATTCAATTCTGTATTCTAACTGTAATAGAATGAAGAAATAAAAAGAGAGTGATTTATAATAAAATTATATGTATATCAATATGTAAGTGTCAAGCACAGTTCCCCAGAAGGCATAATGAAGTATTTATATATGACATGATTTTTAAAATGCCAAGCAGCTCCTGGTAAAGATCTTAACAAGATGAAGTACATTTGTTCCTTGATTTACATGGTACCTGCATTCCTGGAAAAATAAGTATATTTTAAAGCCAGGCAAAAAAGTGCTTTGTGTTTATATGTAAAACAGAGTTTGGTTCTAGGCTTAGATAATTATAAATAAGTTTTTAGCTTATTAGAATGTTGTGAAAAAGGGGGATAATTGTTTGCTGTGTAGGGATGTCTTGAGCATTGTAAGATACCTCACAATTCTAGCTCTTACCCATGAAATGTCCCCACAAATTTCCAGAATGTTCTTGGAGGTTGGTACCACCCCTGCCAAGAATCACAGCTCTAGTTCTAGGCCATTCAGACACTACCATCCCTGCATACAAAGAACATTTAACATCAGTCTAACTGCTGCAGAGGCAGCAATCGGTCTCCCTTGTTCATTTGATCCCCAGGGCCTGCCCTAAGGTGTGTCCTTAATACATATTTGTTGAAGGAAAGAATGGATGCATGGATGGATGGATGGATGAATGGAAAGATAGATTTTCTTCTTTGTCTTGTTTTGTGGCACAGCCCCTTAGATAATCTTTTTTGTCTGTTACATCCTGGACAAGCATTTGAAACATTTCCAGGAGAGAAAAATGAGAAGTCATTCTCCACTGGAGTGCTGGGATCTAGATGTTCATTTCAGCTGGGTGCAGTCTCTGATCTTTTGTAATATGTACCTTTTCTCCTTCCTAGTGTGGGAAAAGTTGGCCTTCTACGAAGAAAACACAAGGGATTTTCTTTTCCCGGAGCCCAAGCTGACACCCTCACACCCTGGCATGTGTCGAGAGGTGCTCATGAGGACGACTGCAGGTTTTCCAGTAAGTGAGCTGGGCTCAGCTGAGCTTCCTATTGAGAGAGAAATTCTTGGAACCTGCAGATTTTTTCCTGATGAGGCTTAATCTTGGGCGATCCCTTCTTCTTGTTTAGTTCCTTGTTTTTCTGTTTAGTGGTAGCCTTATTTAACTCAGTCCCTGGGTAGGCAAATGACTACCACAGTTAGCTGCTAACTAAAAGGTTGGAGTTCAGACCCAGAGATGTCTCTGAAGAAAGGCCTGGCGATTTACTTCCAAAAAAATCAGCCGTTGAAAATCCTGTGGAGCTCAGTTCTACTCTGACATACATGGGGTCACCGTGAGTCAGAGTCGACTCGAGGATAGCTGATGGTGGTGTTAGCCCTATTTAGATGTTCAACATAAGATTCCAAATTGTCCCCACTGTTGATCTGAAAAACAAGGGCCTTATCTAACCAGATTAAATCATTACTATAGTCACATCATCACAAATTTATAAAAAGGTTGCTTTTTTCCACCTCCTTTTAATGCAGACTTAAAGAAAGATGTGATATTATCTGTTCATTTGTTGTTGTTGTTGTTATTATGTGCCGTCGAGTCGGCCCCGACTCATAGCGACCCCTCCTTGGGTTTCCGAGGCAGTATCACTACGGAAGTAGGATTGCCCAACCTTCCTTCTGAGGAGTGGCTGGTGGGTTTGAACCGCCAGCCATCTGGTTAGCAGGCAAGTGTCTTAGCCACTATGCTACCAGAGCTCCCTCTGTTCATTTAGTCATAGCTATTATTTTAGTAATAATAACCAGCAAAGAGAATAGTAGTAGTAATAATGCCATCTCTCACTTATTTTGTGCTTTCAGATTTTCATATATGCTATCTCATTTTCTTCATAAGAATTCTTAGGTTAGCCAAGGCAGATATTACAGCCTCCATTTAGCAGAGGGGACACTGACAGACAAACTGATATTACTGAAGGGTCTCAAAAGGACACAGCAGACATTCAATTGATGATCTAGCTGTTTGGAGGGCAACCTGTGAACCATTTTGATGTTGTCTGCCATTTTTTTTTTTTAAATCTCTGCAGCAACTCTGACAATTTCTTGGCTTTTATGTCACCTAGAGGACTTAATTTTAAGGTCTTTGTGAATTATAAAAGGCCTATTAAATGCTCAGCTTTCATTTTACTGTTACATGAATTGCTATTATTCTTTAATAAAAATTTCATTAAATCCCTGCTGTGTGGAAAGTACTGTGTAGAACATATAACATGGAAGAACCCTGTTTCTATGACACTTACAATGACAGAGTTTTCTAACACTTCAGACAGCAAGCCTTCATCAAAGGTGGGCTTAATCAGAATTCCTAATGACTGTCCTTTTAAGCTCTCCCTTGTCTTTGTGGGTTTGGTGACTATCACTGAAACTATTTTTTCTAAGAGTTATGTGTGTTTCATTTAGATCTATGGTATACACAAAATGCTCACATATATTATTTTGGGTTATTGGGATATTGTTGTTTAGATACTATAAGGGGATAAAAACTGGTGAGAATCAGGCAGGGCATACTCTGATTTGCTTGAGTTTTCTGTTAAAAAAAAAAAAAAAAAAAGCCGTCTGCAAACACTGGGCTAGTACCCAGCAAAATATCAAGACAAGGAGAAGGACACTGTTGTATTTACCTGAGTGTTATCTTTGCTTAACTTTATGGGCATAAAGAGGAAGAAGAATATATAGGAAATTGTGTTTATATACATCTATAAATGCAGGTAATAATGAGAAAAAACCTACTGCTATCAAGTTGATTCTGACTCATAGTGACCCAGTAGGACAGAGCAGAACTGCATCATAGAGTTTCCAAGGTTTTAATTTTACAGAAGCAAACTGCCACATCTTTCTTCCATGGACCAGCTGTTGAGTTCAAACCACTGACTTTTTGGTTAGCAGCCAAGTGCTTACCATTGCACCAGCAAGACAAAAAAAACAAGCCCACTTCCATGGAGTTGATTCTGACTCATAGCAACCTCCATTGGTTTTCTAAGGTGGTAAATCTTTATGGAAGTAGTTTGCCCAGTCTTCCTTCCATGGAGTGGCTGGTGGGTTTGAACCGTCAACCTTCTGGTTAGCAGTCAGATGCCTTAGGCACTGTGCTACTAGAGCACCTTATTGTACTACCAGCACTCCTTAATTACTAGAGAAAGGGCTTAAATTACTGGAAAAATCCCATTATTCTTTGTGCACTAGAGGTGAAGTATTAATTCTTACAGTTGTTAAACTATAAGCAGTTGGCTAAGAGATGTTGTTAGTGGCAAGTCAGCTCAGATTCATGGTGACCTTTCATATAACAGAACGAAGCATTGCCCAGTCCTCACCATCTTCATGATCGTATATTTGAATCTATTGTTGTGGCTATTATGTCACTCTGTCTCATTGAAGGTATGTTGACTATTCACGGTATATGAATGAACAAATCAGTCTTAGATGAGACTTCAGCTCACTCATTTGGATGCATTATGAGAAAGACCAGTTGCTAGAAAAGGGTATTATGTTTGGTAAAGTAGAGGGTCTGCAAAAATGAGAGAAACCGCATCTTGACACAAATGCTTCTACAATTTCTTGGGAAATATAAACAGGTAATAATTTCAATTTTTATTATAATAAAATGGTGGTCTAGCCCTGTACCATCCGAATGTATTGTAAAGTAACAGTAGTTTAAACAGTATGGGACTGAGCAAGTATAGAAATATAGACCAATGAAACAAACAAGAAAGAGTTTGGAAACACATCTACATAATTAATATAAATATTTGATATAAGATAAAGCAAGTTTTTCAAAGCAAGTAGGTAGGCAAGGAGGACCTCTTTCTCCCTCGGCAATCTCATGCAGTTCTGTGGACCAATATTTTAAATAGAGTAACTAACAGCATGGATGCTGGAGATAGAATGCCTGGGGTCAAATACCAGCTCTGTCATTGAGAAAACCACTTGCCCTAAATCATCTTGGACTCATGGCAACCCATGGGTGTCAGAGTAGAATTGTGTTCCATAGGGTTTTCAATGGCTAATTTTTTCACAATAGATCACCAGGCTTTTCTTCCAATGTACCTGTGGGTGCAACCTCCAACCTCTAACCTTTCATTTGGAAGCCAATTGTGTTAACCATTTGTACCACCCAAAGACTCCCTGTCTTTACTAGTTGGACAAATTACTTGAACTTTCTGTCCTAGTTTACTCATCTGCAAAATGGGGATACTGTTAGGACCTGCCATATGGGGTTGTTGTAAGCATTTGATAAGATATGCAAAGTACTTAGGACAGGGCCTGGTACATGGTACATTGTACTACATAAATGTCAGCTATTCTTATTATGTATGTACTTTAGATAATGTGTGGGGGTTATGCTGATCAAACAAGAACATTTAGATTCTTGCATGATTTCAGGTTAGCATGGGATGGACAAAGAAGCTATTTCTAGTACTTTTACTTGCTTTATTTTAATGCTGTTTTATTTTTAGGGCATTGCTCCCAAGTTAGAGTTTTCTACAAGGACAGCCATCAGAGAACGTGTGTGTCTGCATAGAAACAGATTTCTTGTGAGTATAATTGAGAAGCCAGTGATAGAAATAACAGGACTTTTATTCGTACATTTAAGAATTTCAGCCTAAATTAATTTTACCAAGTATATATGCAACTGAGCACACAGAAACTTGGAGATTTTGCTTGATTTGCATTTCTGTACTCAAATGATTTGCTCAGCTAGACCATCAATTAGAGTAAATATGTTTGCCACACATTCTTCGCACAGTGTGGTTGGTGGGGCAGCATGATCCAGAAGGTAACATCGCAAGTTTGACCCAAGGAGGCAAGTTAACCTTTTTTGTGGTTGTTGTACCACAGTGTCTGCTGCTGATCATATGAACAATTGTGTTTTCTTCTTCCTTTTGCTGAAACTCAGAGTTGAATTTGTGGTTCACCTTTGGGAGCCATGAAGGGTCTTAGGGCATCTCTGTATTCTACCTTCATCTCACTCTGTTGTCTTACCCTAAACTCCCCTTCACCCTGATTTCTTCTATATTTCTTTTACCATACATTTTGTAGCCATTTAAAATTCTTTCTAGAACAGGTTGGAGAATGAATGAATGTGATTTGTAAAGCTTCATCACATACTTTTAGAACAAGGTAGAGTAAAATTAATAAGTGAAACAAAATGCTTGTCATCCCAAAACACACCTGTAGTCCTGAAAAATAACTTGAAAATGTGGGCAATGGGTTAATTGTCCTGGATGAGAATGGGTCATTAATCTGAACAAACTCTTTCTTCTAGGAATAATAACTCATGTAAAAGGAGATTAATAATTTTAAGAAAAGCATGAGCTACTTTTTAATTTTTCCTTATTTACTTTCTGTTTTCTCCAGTCTCTCTGATCTGTGTGCTTGAGTATTTTTCAGCCAATCTTTCTTTCTCTTGTAATCTTCTTTTAACCTCCTAATATAAGTATTCAGTTAAGTGTTAATTTTTATAACTTTTATTTTTTTTTTCTTATAGCAAAACTATCACATTCATTATAGAAAGTTAGAAAATATATATAATCACAAAGGACAAAATAAAAATAAAAATTAACTAATTTCTACCATCTAGAGATGAGCCTAATTTTTTAGTGTACAGTATATCCTTCTGTACACATCCCTCCCCCACACACAGTTCATTTGAAAAGGTTGAGATCATGCTTCATCTGTTATTTTGTATCTTTATTTTTTTCATTTCATATATCATGAACATTTTCTCATGTCCTTAAGTATTATGCTATGTGATTTTCTATGACTGCATAGTATTCCATTGTTTACAAGTCCCATAATTTGCTTGCCCAATCATTTTCCTTTCTAGGGGCATTTCATTGGTATATCAGCCAGTTATTTTAACAGGAAGATTAAAGGAAAAAAGTGGTTTGAAGTACTGAAAAGTAGAAGGGGAATACTGAGGTGACAGAGAGAGTAACCATAGTTGGGGTCATCAAGAATGTAGACACTTGCAAGGACTGCACAGAAATGGGGCCCAGATCTCTAGAAATGCTGCTTCCTGAGTATGCTGGTACCTGAGGAATTCAGAGGGGCTCTGCAGGGTTGAGGCTGGAATCTCTAAGAAGGGTTACTTCTTACCATTAGTGCCTCAGGAGTTCGGAGGAAGGATCCTGTGGGCTGCATTCAGAATTCTGAGGAGAGGTCTCAGGCCAGCTGACACCAGATGTCAGAGGGGACACAAAGAGGTTGTTCTAGAGTATGAAAAACACCAAACAAACTAAACTGGAACCATTTGCTGCTGCCAAGGAGAAGAGTGGTTTCTGAGGTGATGCTGGCAGGAATAAGCTGGAAGAAGCCAGTCTCATCTTCTTCCTCCAGCCTTGAAGGCTCTCTCCAGCACCTTCTAATGGTAGAGCATTACAGGGAATAGCTGAAAAAGCAGGTGTGTAAAGAGTGCCAGCCTCCCTATCTTAAAGCAGAGTATAACAGGGTGGGTTTGGAGCAGAGAGGCATTTTTTTACTCATCAAGACAGTTGGATTCTAATTTTCCAACTATCATAACCATCTTTATAGCCGTACACGTGTTGTTGTTGTTAGGTGCTTTTGAGTATGTTCTGACTTATAATGACCTATGTACTACAGAATGAAACAATGCCTGGTCCTGTGCCATCCTCACAATCTTGGATATGCCTGAGTCCATTGTTACAGTCACTGTGTCAATCCATCTCATTGAGAGTGTTCTTCTTTTTCACTGACCCTCTACTTTACCAAACATGATGGCCTTCTCCAGGGACTGATCCCTCATGATAACATGTCCAAAGTATGTGAAATGAAGTCTTACCATCCTAGCTTCTAAGCTAGGCTGTACATCTTTGAAGATAGATTTTTATGTTCTTCTGGCATTCCATGGTATATTCAATATTCTTTGCCATCACCATAATTCATAGACATCCATTCTTCTTTAGTCTTCCTTGTTCATTGTCCAGCTTTTGCATGCATATGAGGCATCTGAACATACTATGGCTTGGGTCAGGTGCACCTTAGATGTCAAAGTGACATCATTGTTTTTTAATACTGTAAAGAGGTCATTTGTAGCAAAGGCATTCAATTGTGTGGATCAAAACAAATTATGCATAGTAGTGCAAAGATTGGGAATTCCAGAACCCTTAAATGTGCTGGTAGCATAGTGCCTAAGGCACTTGACTGCTAACCAGAAGGCTGGTGGTTCAAACCCACCAGCCACTCCTCGGAAGGAAGATGGGGCAATCTACTTTAATGATACTGCCTTGGAAACCCAAGGAGGGGTCGCTATGAGTTGGGTCTGACTCGATGGCACATAACAACAACAACATAAATGTGCTCATGGGGAACTAGTACATAATAAGGGGATACTGTTAAATCAGGAAAGATGTGCATCAAATATTGTGCATAAAGATGTCATGAGACAAAGTATATGTGAACTGCTGTATGGAAAGTGAATTTGCTCTGTAAACTTTCACCAAATCACAATTTAAAAAAAAATAGATTGTGTACAAAGATGTCCATTTGGTTGATGCAATATGTCATTTCTTTCTTTTTTTTTTTTTTTTTTTTGTCATTTGATTTCTTGATGGCTGCTTCCATGGGTGCTGATTGTGGATTGAAATAAAATTAAACCCTTGACAGTTTCAATCTTTTCTCCATTTATCATGATGTTGCTTACTGGTCTTGTTGTGAAGATATTTGTTTTCTTTATGTTGAGGTGTAATCCATACTGAAGGCTGAAGTCTCTGATGTTCATCAGTGAGTTCTTCAAGTCCTCTTCACTTCAAGTTAGCAAGAATGTGTCCTCTGCATATTGCATGCAGGTTGTTATTGAGGCTTTCTCCAATCCTGATGCCAATGTTCTTCATATAGTCCAGCTTCTTGGATTATTTCCTCAGCATACAGATTGAATAAGTATGGTGAAAGGATACAGCCCTGACGTACATCTTTCCTGATTTTAAACTACAAAGTATCCCCTTGTTCTGTTTGAAGGCCTACCTCTTGGTCTATGTACGGGTCCCCCATAAACACAATTAAGCATTCTGGAATTCCCATTCTTTGCATTACTATCCATAATTTGTTTTGATTCACACAGTTGATTGCCTTTGCATAGTCAGTAAAACTCAGGCAAACACCTTTCTAGTGTTTCTTGCTTTCATCCAAGTTCCATCTAACATCAGCAATGATATCCCTCATTCCATGCCCTCTTTTGAATCTGACTTGATTTTTTGTCAGTTCCTTCTTGATGTACACCTTCAATCGTTTTTGAATAACCATCAACAAAATTGTACTTACATGTGATACTAATGATATTATTTGATAATTTCCACATTTTGTTGGATTCCCTGTCTTTGGAATAGGCATGTATATGGATCTCTTCCAGTTGGTTGGCCAGGTAGCTGTCTTCCATATTTCTTGGTATAGTCAAATGAGCACTTCTACTGTTGTATACATTTGTTGAAACATCTCAACTGGTATTTGTCAATTCTTGGATCCTTGGGATTTTTTAATTTTTTTGCCAATGCCTTTATTATAGCTTGGACTTCTTCCTTCAATACCATCAGTTCTTGATCATATGCTACCTCCTAAAACCAACATTGATTAATTCCAAACATGGTGACTCTGTTTTCCTTCCATCTTCTGATGCTTCCTGCATCATTCAATATTTTGCCCAAAGAATCCTTCAATATTACGATTTGAGGCTTGAGTGTTTTCTTCAGTTCTTTCAGCTTGAGAAATGCTGAGAATGTTCTTCTAGTTTGGTTATCTAACTCTAGGTCTTCGCACATTTCATTATAATACTTTACTTTGTCTTCTCTAGGTGCCCTTTGAAATCTTCCATTGAGTTCTTTTATTTTATCCTTCTTCTATTCACTTTAGCTACTTGGGTGTCCAAGGCAGTATCACTATGGAAGTAGATTGCCCAACCTTCCTTCTGAGGAGTGACTGGTGGCTTTGAACCACCAGCCTTCTTGTTAGCAGTCAGGTGCCTTTAGGCACTATGTTACCAGAGCTCCTGTACTTCAGGATAGATTTTGAAATATTCTTTTGACAATGAATGCAATGCCATTCTTTTTCAATTTTTCATTCCCAGCATAGTAGACCATATGAATGTCCAATTCAAAATGGTCAATACCTGCCCATTTCAGCTCACTAATGCCTAGGCTATCTATCTTCAAGCATTCCATTTCCTTTTTGAAAACTTCTTCCTATATTCATACTTCATACATTACACATTATGATTATTAATAGGTGTTTGCAGCTGTTTCTTCTCATTTTGAATAGTGTCATACCAACTAAGGAAGGTTCTGAAAACTTTACTCCATCCACATCATTAAGGTTGATTCAATTTTGAGGAGGCAGCTCTTCCTCAGTTGTATTTTGAATGCTTTCCAATTTAAGGGTCTCATCTTCTGGCCCTACATAAGTCAATATTCTTCCACTATTTATAAAGTTTTCACTGGCCAGCTTTTCCAGAAGTAGTCCACCAGGTCCTTTTCCCCACTCTGTGTCAGTCTGGAAGCTCCACTGAAATCTGTTCACTATGGGTGACCCTGCTGGTATTTGAAATACCTGTGGCATAACTTCCAGCATCACAGCAACATGCGAGCCACCGCAGTATGACAAACAGACAGACAAATGGTGGAGTGATATACATAGTCATGATTATTTCCTTATAAAAAATCCTGTGAAGTAAAAGTGCTGGACTCAAGAATAGGCCAAATTATCTACCTTCTTTTTTTCTCTCTCTACTTCCCTCCCTTCTTTCCTTGATTTTTTCATCTACCTACCTACATACCTATTTATTTATTTATGGCTAGGGTGGAGGGATATGTCTGATACTTTCCAACTTCCCCCTAATACAAACAAATATCATTGTAATAAAACATATTATTCTAGCAAATTATAAATACCAGTAAATAAAGTTAAGCTGAACTGGAAAAAATGCCCTTCCTTAAGTTTATTTTTTGTAAGTCTGAGATGTTCAATATTTTCCCTTAAAGGAAGCTCAATTAAATGCGGTTATATTTTGATTGAATTCTATTCGATTAAAAAATTTCCTTTTTATGAATATTCTTTCTTTTTGGTTTTAGGAGGACAGACTTAAGCCACAAAGACCCTTATCTACGTCACCTGGACCAGTATTCCCCCTAAACAACATAAAGACAAAGCCCAAGGGAAATCATCTTGACAGGATGCCCAGAGGCCTCCAGAGCCGGTCGCCCTCTCCGTTTCCCACCAGGCGTCTCTTCCAGGACCAGCCAGCTCCCTTGAACTTTGGAAATAGTTTCAAAACTTCCAGAGAAATCAAACCACCATTTGTAGTTAGACATGTGAGCCTAAAGTCATTTTTCAGAGACTTCTGGAATGAAGTGGGCATGCATGAGGGTAGAACATTACATCCATTTTACGGGGAAGGAAAGTTAGATTAACTTGGGCAAGCTCATACCACCTGGTGAATAGCAAAGCCAGGATGCAATCACAATCATCTGACTTATGCTCTTTCTGCTATACCACTCTCCCTCTTGTAACTCATGTATCTTCATAGATTAAATTATGTCACTTCCTAGTGTCACTGTCAGGAGATGTCTATAAAGATGTCTGATAGAAAGGACTTGCTCAAAGAATGTCAGCCATCTCTATTTTTAATTTTAAAAAACTATTAGTAGAATGTTGATATCTACATATGATGTTAGCTGCTGTCAAGTTGACCCTCTACTCATGATGATCCCATGCACAACAGAACAAAAACCCTACGGAGCACAGTTCTACTGTGACACACATGGGGTCACCATGAGTTGTTATCAACTTGATGGCAACTGGTAATACTAGCAATTGCACATTCAAGGCTATTTCTTTCCTTTACCCTCAGGTGGATAGTGCAAAGCCCTTTGGTGAGACTATTTCAGAGCATCATTCCCGAAAGTCTAGAAGAAAATGCAAGTTGTCAAACTTTCCGTTTCCAATGAGAAGAGGTACTTAAGTTTCTTCTGTACAATTGCCTATGGAAACTTATATATCCTACTTCCAAATTTTCTTTTATTCTGAGGAATCACAAGTTGCTTTGGAAACTGTGGGCCTAATTCTCAAGTAGTCTTCAGCTGTGGAGTTTCCAGGAAGGCCTGGCCTCGGAGCAGAGACAGAAGGTTTCCATTTGACAGTTCCTCTTGGTATGGAAGGACTGTTCTGAGTAGTGTTGCTGAATGTGCTGAGGTTGAAGTTGCTCCCTGGCTAGGCTGGAAAAGCAGAGAGCAGCTGTGTCCTTGCAAAGGCACCACTGATAGCTAATGAAGAAGACTAGCCATTTTTTTGGATGGGAAAGAGCAGAGGATAGGTGGAGATCTGTAGACATACATTTTTTGACAAGGTTGCATGTCAGCAAAGATGGGGGGCAGCCTGGCTGAAGCAGTTAGGTTAAGGAGTGATTCTCAATCTTCCAGACCTCAGCCCTTTTTGCATTCTTCAATAATATATATTGATAAAAAATAGCTTTTGTTATCTTTTGATAAGGGGTTTTGTTATATCTATCAATATTTAATGTATTAGAAATTAAAACTAAGATATTTAAAAAATACAAGAAAGCACAAATACACATTCCATTAGCCACCAGAGTGGGGGCATCATCACATGTTGTGTAATTTCTGCAGAGTTGCATGTACATTCATGAGAGAATGAAAGGGAAAAGGCAAATTATATCTTAGTACTATTTTGAAAACAGTTTGGACATGGGGGATGATCTGAAAGGGTCCCAGGAACCCTGGGGAGGTCCCTGGACCACACATTGAGAGGTGTTTGGCTAAGGCATCTCTTGGAGGCCATTACCTTGTGTTTGATATATGTGAACCATGTCAATAAGCAGTGAAGTTCAGCCATTCCTGGGCTTAATCAAAATTCTTAGCTGAGGAAGCAGGGTTGATGGTCCACTGTCTTGCCTCCTGGTAGGACTGGACCTATATCAGCCATGACAATAGGGTTCCCACCTTAAGTGTAAAGGTTTATACTTTTAAGGGACTGTGCAGGCTTGTGGTCACTCATGCCAGTATTCTTGGATAGTGGTGACTGTTTGACATAAGCTGTCCAAGGAGTACAGGTTTGAAGCAGAAAGTGTTTCATCACATCTGACACTAAAGTCCTTTGAATCGAAAATTACTCGTGCTGCATATAAAAGCTTCCCTATGATAGTGAAATAAACCAGCAGCCAGATGCCCTCTCCCAGGGAAGACAAGTAGGGCTTAAAGCTGCCTCAATGATGATGGGACTCAGACATTGCATTTGTCAAGGCCTCTGCCCCATCCTGATCTTGGTAGGTGGAGAGCCAAGAATCCAGAGAGTGTAGATTTTTGGCATAGTTAGATTTAGAGAAGACTTGGATCCTTGGAATTTCTGTAGCTAGCTAGACCATTGCTTAGGTGATCTGTAAGCTCATTCAGCCAGGCTTAAGGGAGAATAAAACAATGCTTCAACTTGAGGAAGCTCTGGTGACACAGTGGTTAAAACTGTCAGTGGTTAGAACCCACCAGCCACTTGGCAAGAGAAAGATTAGGCAGTCTCCTTCTGTATAGACTGACAGTCTTAGAAACCCCATGAGGGCAGTTTTTCTCTGTCCTATAGGGTTGCTGTGAGTCAGAATGAACTTGATAGCAGTGGGTTTGGTCTCCAACTTGAATGTGCATTTGAATGACCTGGGGATCTTGTTTAACTGCAGATTCTGATTTGGTAGACCTGGGCTAGGGCTTGGTAGTCTTCCTTTCTAACAAGCTTTCAGATCCTGCTGCTGCTGCTGGTCCATTGGCATTTTGAGAAGGAAGGGCATGAAGGCAAGCCCCCTATAAAAGAGAGTGCTCAGAACCAGAACTAAACAGGCTACCAGGCCACAGGACAGGTTTGTAGCTGTAGGTGAAAAGGGCCTTAGCTTTGCTGCTTCCCTGCCCAGCTGGGGGTGGAGAGAAGAGAACTTCTGGGACAAGATGGACAAACATCTGTCCATGCCCAGATGATAAGAAAATCACTAGGCTTTTAAAAAAATCCTTTTCCATCTTCCTTCTTCCTATTAATGGCCCAGAGCCATTGATAGTGGCTTTTGTCTTTGCCTGAGCCATACTCACACTGGGGAGAGCCATGGTGCCTTGCAAATACTCATTTTTTTTAAAAAAAAGTTTTACCCTGGAAACATCCAATTTAGTCTTGCTTTTGTCTGTATTTATTACTTCACTTCCTAGGGTTCTTTTTTTAATTAAAAAATTTATTTTCATAGCTTTTAATATTGCAGAATAAGGATCATAGGATTTTGTATATAGACATTCCAAATGAATCCAAAAGCATTTTTTTTTTTTTTGTAAAGATAAGTAAACTTAGCAAGATTGTCAAATATAAGTCATCAAAATAATACCATCAGGGAGGCGGGGCAAGATGGCGGACTAGGCAGAAGGATTGCACAGACCCTCTTCAACAAAGAAAAGGGAAACCAATTAACACAGACACAGAAGATAATCTT